TCGATTTGTTTGAAAAGTCGAGTTTAGTTAGCTTAATTCCTCTATTACAATGTGCAGAGGTGGCAGGTCTACAAGTGTTTCCAGAGCCGCGGTTGGTGGTTATCATAATAGCAGTGATTCTTTGTTGTTTATTTCCCTTAAATTCGGCCCTTGAAGTTTAAGAACATAAAAAGATGCAGTGCATCACTCATGTTTTTCATAGAAGAAAGATTTGACTGAAAACTTAATTCTAGTCTTACCCAGTGCAGAGCATCTGGTATGACAAGAATCATTGTATTCCAATCCTAGTCTTTCACAATAAGTTCTCAGGGCCCAACGCCATGTATCAGCACCCAGATCAGTGCAAAGACATGCCTACAAACTAAAGCCCAAACGCACTATCTTCTCCTTCTTGATTGACGTTGTAGCCGCCTTAGCGATTCGGGCAGAGTACAACAAAGTGCGCCATTCATATCTCTTCATTGCCAACTGACACCGATTGGATATGCCAAGGGAACCTAGTCTTTCCATCGCACAGGACGCCTCCCTTTCTTATGTCAACAGCAGCGCGGCCCGCGTTGTAAACTTTCATAGCTGGAGAATTTCTGTCCATTCGTACGATGATATTCGCCATCACCTATGCGCAAATATCCGCAGAACCTTTCTCTCGAAAACTCCAAGAGCCGCCTTATCAGATATTTTGATTGTCTATGCTCCTTCACTGTACGCCAACACGGGTAATATGAGTGACGTATAGAGAGAGATTTTTGTACGACAAGAGATGACTTTACTTCGCAATTGCCTACTCAGTCCAAAGTACCACTTGTTGCCAAGAGTTATTCTCCGTTGTATTTCAATGTACTCTCTTTACTGTTTTATTACGCTCGAGGAGATACTTACAGATACAAAGCACCCTTTATACCTAGTAGGTTTACAAATGGTCATTTAATTTTGTCTTTAATATCTATACATTCAAGTCGAGTTTTTAAAGCTCAGTTATGTAAGAACTAAAATTGACTTGGCATGAAAATTGTATATCTGGCAAATGAGGACCGCGTGTAGGTACGTAGTTACCCAAAAAAATAACTTCGCTCAGAAACTTGGGGAATTATAGATTTTTGATTTATAAGGTATGTTTCTAAGTGCGAAGAGAGCCGCGAAAAAACCATGGTACCATATCACGTTTTTACTTATTTTTAATAAAATTCCTCCAAATATGCCATAGAAAAATGATTCTTTGTATAAATGGAAATGTGACTGGTTCTTCATATATGCCAAATCAATGCTTTCAACGGTCTTTTTTTGACATGGCGATGTCCTACGAAGTGGCAATTGTCGCCCTCTGCAGAACTTTTGAACTTGTTCTGAGCTGACTCAGGTTAGATGGTTTTGAGACAGTTCATATAACAATAGTTCCTAGATAGTTCAAAAAGGGTCACCTCCGAGCTAGGAAAAATGCGGTTAGTTTCGAGCTGGTTCTAAAAAGTATAGTATAGAGCCTTTTCTTTAAATAAGCACGCATACAATATTTTAAATAAAAAATACTTCATTTTATGTTTAAATAGCTATTTGTTTTGCACTAATTTACTTTTTGAGGCAAATTGTGCTTTAAAATTAGGAACATAAAGTATCAGCTATTCTTCCATTTTCTAAAACCGTTATTCTTAAAAATAATTTATATTGGTTATGTATAGGGGGTATTTCTGGGATACTTATAATTAAAAATCTAAACTAAATCGTATCAATAAATGAGAAAAATGGTGATATATTGAATGCTTATTTGTGATAACTTAGCGTTAAATTGTATTAAATGTATTGAAATGTAATACATAGACTCCCCGGCATCTAATAAGAACATATAGAACTTTAAATATTCACAATGGTTTTCATGCAAAATATTTTTCGTAAATTTTTCATTTAAGGATGGTTGATAAGTATCATAACGTAAAAATACATATAAATTCGCGTTTCTAACTACGTTGGAAATTTTGTAAAATTCTAGAAACTGTTATAAAAACTTCAATATTTTAAATCAGAGTTTATAAATATGCAGTTCTATAGCCTATTAAACTTTAGTATAATTAATCGCGCTGATTTTTTATAACTCTTTTTACGCACGCTCTTGAAGGTATTCTCCTTTTTAAATATTTTCGTTTAAGATGCAAGATTACACTTTACACTAAAATTTGATGCGCTACAAAACAGAATACTCGAAATATTTATAAAACAATCTCTGATTAAAAAGTTTGAAATTTGAAAACAGTTTTTAGAAATCTATCAAGTTTGCATCACAGTTAGCAACTTGAGTTCAAATGGTTTATGAAATATGGGACATAGTACTTAAATAAAAACTTAACGAAAAATATTTAAAATGAAAAACATTGGATATTAAAAAAAAATCACTGCATAACTACACATTTCGGGTGCTCAGTGAAATATTTAGGCCATATCAATACCACCCTCATTTCAAAGTGAGAATGTTTACCACTTTTGGTTTTTTTTTTAAATCTGTTCAGTTAAATTTAACTTTGTTTTGTTTAAAGTTTTAAAGCACGGTTTATATGATTTTGTTTTAAGAATGATCATTTTCATTATAAAATAATAACAAAAAATTTTAACTCTCAATATATTGTGATTATTAAAAAAAGAAATGTAGCTTAACTAAGTTTTATGGTTATATTTTGCGTTCAAATTTATACGTACGTATATATGTATACAAATTACATTAATGTTACCAATAACGACTTTTTTGGAAATATTTTAGCAGTTGCCCCATAGCTATATAGAGAAGTACATATTAAATAAACGAAAACAGTTTTTTTTTTGGTTTCAGGGTGTATAGTATATTTTGCATCTTTTGTCAGCTTTCACATGACCAGCATGAGTAACATTGATGACAGCGCAAGTAGCAACATATGAGTTTCAACCGTCCAGCTCTGCATCCTTTTTGCAGAGACTGTTCTGAAATTTGTAGGGCGGATCTAGTGCTTTGCCAGACTATCCCTAAATTTTGCTGCAGGGTTAATACAAAATTTTCTCCATACAACTAAAGGGCTAACTATAATATGAATAAGCTGCCGTAACTGACTGTCAGAAAATGAACGAAAAGCCTGTCAAATGCATAAGGAACGTAGTGTAGACTTTTAGGTGGCTATATTTTACTTACATGAGTTCAGTGTTGGCACATTTAAGTAGATATAACAATAGCCACTATCAAGCAGTTTGTTGTAGATCACACAATCATAGTAACCTAGAAACGCCGAAGAACTGTTCGCCTTGCGAAACTTTCAGGATAACCTGGTGTTTCTCTAAAAGGAAACGCTTACGGCCCACTTCCTAATGTGGAACCAGAACTTCTTTTGACCTGTGTTACATGTAGGACTGAATCGAAAAAGTTACCAAGTTGAAAAATAAGTTACCAAATTACCAAATATGATAAATAAAGAAAAAAATTACCAATTTCGGTAAAAAAAATACCAATGCGGCAACACTGCCTGTGTTACATATGTACAAACATACGTACGAGGACAAACAGTTGATTCCGTACGGAAGGTGCGATCAGTATCGCTCTTTCCTTTAGCAAATGACGTTTGGCGAAACTTGAAGTTAAGCACATTATAGTTTCAGAATAGGATTTATGTATGTGTATTCGCAAGTTTGCATACTCTTGCTTCTTCATATTATATTTAACCCTTTAGTTGTATGGAGAAAATTTTGTATTAACCCTGGTTAACAGGTTAATGTGCAGGCATGGGCAGAGAACGAGTACACAATGGGCTAGCTTTTCTCAATATTCATCGCAATCTGGATGTTAATGTTGACTCAGTATTAAAAGAATTTTTATCTATACCTCGGTTAATTGTACGTGACTTTTCATTGAGTTGTGCTGGATTATATCCACAATTAAAAACATTAACCCAAATCCCCCAGCCTCCCAACCAAATTTGTAGTTCCGAAATAGATCTTTATCGCCAAAACCGAACCAGTCCGATAGTAACTGGATCGTTCAAAAGCAGCGATATGTGGTACTTTTAAAAAACAATTTTATAAATCTATATCTAAAATTACGAATTTTGAACTGGTTCAAAACTATAGAAAAAGGGATGCGGAACGAACTATATCTCATCTGGCGAATTTTGAACTAGTTCGAAACTACTGGGAAAGGGATTTTTGCTTTTGGGACTTTCTGGAATATAACCAATAACAGTCAGCACCTCTGAAAATTCAGCTACAGCCAAAGGTATGTAAACGTGTTTTCAAATGCAAAATTAAATTTACGTTCATTCAAACAAATTTTATTTCAGAGTGAAAATACATTTCTCTGCAAATAATTAAAAATTGCTACCATGGTAACCCAAAAAGAAAACATCTTGTTACTTTTTTTGTTTACAACTGGTTCGGAACTACAGAAAATCGGGTGCAAAGCAAACTAGATCGAATTAAGGACTGGTTCTGAACTATAGAAAAGGTAATGCAGCGGGGGACAATTTCCAATTCCTATGACATCGCCGTGTTAAATTCGCCAGTTATTTGCATGTAATAGAGATTTATCGCGAACTAGTAGTGGTTCTAAATATACTAGAAGCGCATCAGTTCAAAAGAAGAGATTTTCCCCACAGGGTAGATCCATGTTTTCTCGCTTTCTATAAAAACACAATGACAATTAATATAGGTATGTACATAAATGCTTTACATAAATTTTTTGCTTTTGAACACAAGTTTGTTTGTCGAAACGAAAAATGGTGGAAAAATATTACATGAACACATACATACATATCCCCTCCATTGGGCCCTGCAAGACTTTGAAACCAATTAAAGTTACCCATAATAAGTTGGCCAAAAGTTGGCTATTTTAGTAGTCGACTATGAAATTCCCGACAGGGAAAGTTCTTGTCTGTTAACATTTGCAAGCTTAAATATACATACATACAATACATATATACATATGTATGTATGTACATATGTACATCCACGCAACATCATTTAGCTAAGTACTTTTAATAACATGTTCCGATACTTACCAAATTGCTGGTCCGTATTAACCGAGACAACCGGAATGCCGGGCATAATAATAGCTGGCAAAGTGCGAGAGCGTAGCAGAGGGGGTGGCACTTTCCGACCCACGTGCGTTTGTGATATCAAGGCCGCATTTGCTGCATGCGTCCTGGAAAAGAGGCAGAAAAAGACCAGCATGAATTCGTCAATAATAGAGAAGAGAGAAAAAGAAGAAATAAACAATAAAAAGGGACGGAGAAGAAGTTTCGTAAGAGGTATCCGTAGTATAAAAAAATAAATGTATGTATACATTAGGAATGTTAGTTTTTTCGCATTTTACGATCTCGGGATTTTCGGTATGTCATTATCACAATATCGGGGTCTCGGAATTTAGATATTCATTACTTTTTAACAACGTAAATCGAAACAAAATTGTCTATCTCTCTTACCATAAAATAAATAACACAGCGCAACAATTTGAGGGTCATTGCCTGGGGGCGGAATGATTCCAACTCTGGATGAAAGACCAAGATCCATAAAGTAAAACCTTAAATTCGTTTTACATTCTTTTGGTCAAATTTCTTTGCTATGGCCATTTTAAATTTGCATTATTTTGCCTAAGTGCCTTTAGAATAAATTTAAAAAAAAGAATTAAAATACATATCGGAGAGAAATATGTTTTTTCGGGCCATATAGTAAAATTTTACTAGGAATAATTTTGTAGAACATTTTAACCCGTTATATCCCTCACAAAAAGGTCGTTTTGGCCCTCTTTTTAGAAACACTGAAAATAATGTCGTTTTGGAATTATTGCACCCCCAAAAATTTTGTTGCACAGTGTAATAAATAAATGGGTTTGAAACCCACAAAATGTTAAAAGGACATTCTCAATACATACAAGTCCTTATGCTCCAAAAATTGAGTCTGTTTAAATTCTACAGAATTTCCTCTTTAATTTCTCTAAGCACATTTGACTGACTTTTTTAATTGTTTTTTTTTTTTTTAATTACTGACGTCAGACTGAGAAACTAAAAACGCAATTTTACTCTATTTGGCTCATGGTTTCGCGAATACATATATATAAAAATTTATAAAAAATATTAATTATTAAATAAAAAAGGGAAATATAGCCAACACTGGTCAAGAAAAGGAGTCCCGGGATTACGGATTAACATTATTGACAGACTCCGTCGTCGTTACTTTGAAAGGTAATTTTGAATGCATGTAATTTACAGTTTTGTATCAACAATAAATATGTATCTACTTACATACATACGTGTGGATGCAAATTAGGGTGAAGCGTAAAATTTTGTTTTAGAGTTTTCAGTACGGAGCGATAGGATGTAGAACGTTGCATTGAGCCTTAAAAATTTTTTACTGCTTCCATATAAAAAATTACAACTATCTATTAGTGAAACATCAATAGAAGATATTCTTTATTGCCGATCACTGTAAAGCAATTAATATACATATATATTTTTTAAATACAATAATAATATGTATGCATACATATAAAACTACTTTTTCACGCATATATACAATGACTTCTTTTGATCATAAAACGGCTAAGATGCATGTTTTTTTTCGTTTTAGTCGCCTAAGATTGTATTTCTCCTTGAAAGGTTGTTGGTTCATTGTTGGGTTTGTGTGGCTCAGTACTCCGTTTAGAAGTAATTCCCTTTATGTCTTTATTGCTTCGTCAACCATATCAATATTTAGTTCTCGATGTAATCACTGTTAGATATGTAGTAAATCGCATTTGCTATTTTCCTAAGAATTCTCAATTGAGCTTTTATCGTTAAAAGAATGGGTTTTAGAAGCCGAAGTTATTGCCTTGTAGATCAGTACATTATTGTGTACTATTGGTTTAGATTGCCGTTCCAGTAGCCAGTACAGTTGTATAAAGTGGTTTTTTATTTCGTTGTGTTTTATTTTAAGGTCCTTTTAAGTTAATTTTGAGTCTATTGTTATTCAAAGGTATATACCTCGTTTTGGTATTAATGTTCGTGTTAGAATCCCCCACTTTTATTGCTTTTACGGTACGTGTATTGTTTTGTCACCATTAATATCCATCTTAAACTTCAATTCTCATATACAAATTTAAGATTAACTGTAATTTCCAATGATCCAATGATCGGATTTAAACCAAATTAGTACGGGACACCCTGTGAGGTAACTTTCCTTTAAAAATTATAGAAATCGGTTAACGTGGTCCAAAGTTATGTGGTAACATACATACAAAAAATATTCCGGTGAACTGATAACCTCCTCCTTTTTTGGAAGTCGGTTAAAAATTATATTTCAAAAGAAGGCTTTCGTTGATGTGGCTAAAGTGACGTTAGAGAATGTTAAAGAACTGTTTGATATTTGTGCATTGATTTTGTTAATTGCACTTAATAATAATAATAGATTGGCGCTTGCATAATATGTAAGTGTTTGGACGAGTTTCCCTTCCGTTTCGTTACTTGTGTTTTGATGTTGTCACACAAAGGACAGGGACCTTTTCGCTGACTCCGAACGACGATTGTATTTTTATGAGAACCTGTTTTTCATGACAAAATATACCAGGTGGTATGCCACAGCCTGTCGAGGGCGACCGTTATTAGGAAAACACTTGTTTTTTGTTTTATTTGACGTTGGTCGGAAGCCGGGCTCGAACCAAAACATATAAGAACAAGTAAGAGCAGCGCTGTCTTCGGCTATGCCGACGGCATCATACCCTCATGAGCATCTGAAAATTTTACTTTAATAGATTACTGCATTTGAAAAAAATTATATATTTACAGAATACATAGATAGAGGAGATACACATATGAAAAACCACATCTCNAATTTATATATTCACATCATACATAGATAGAGGAGATACATGTGTAAAAAATCATATCTAAACAATCAGAGGTATGGAAGATATACCTTATATAGCACCCATCTAAGTGATTTTCACTGCTGTGTGATTGGTATGTAAACCGTAAACGCAACTTAGTGGTATAGGAGATAAACCTTATGCAGCATAGATTTTGACGATTTTCTCAGGAGGCTTTGTATTATTATTTATAGAATAGCTGGGAAACTGGGAAACCTGCCTTCAACTCTCCGTGACTCAGTTTACTGCTATACCGTGCAACATGGCTGTTTCATTATAGCGGATATATGTAGTTTACTTTAAGTACAGTTCAAAAATACCTTTATCGAATGTGTCAAGCAATAAGTAATGGATAATGCCCTCAAGATTTCTTTAACATAAATCCAGGAAGAATTGCTCATTCGCCCTATTATGTATGACGACTGATAGCCGATAGGCAACCATATACTAAAATGCGCATTACATATGGCTGTTGGCTACTGAGTCTGGTAGCGCAATTTTCTGTTTTCCGCTTATGAAGATTTTGTAATTTCTTTAGATAAATTGTCAAACACCTTGAGCAAAATTGGCAATTACTTCGAAACGAAAAAATCAAATATTGTGTGTGAGACTATTTAAAGTTTCCAGGCTAAGCTTCGGGGTAAATGATTAGACTGTTATGATAAAATGGAACAAGTGACAAATGACGTCGCCTCCAATACTATGTGAGTTCAGTTTTGGATCAAATACCCGAGCTACGATGGAACTGCCGGATTATCCTTGCCATACACAAGCAGATGAACGCTGTGTAACCATTGTCACTGAAGCATCAATGACTGGTGATTGGTGAAAAGGCTGGAAATGGGTTTATGTGTTCCAATACTAAATCTCGTGCGATAATGCGAAAATTTGGAACGGAAAACGATTTAACAGTAAAGAAAAAATTATTAAATTACTAAAGTAGTTTTGGACATTTTTTGTTCTTAATTTCATGTTGTATATTTTTAGAAGCTTTTATTTAACTTCACTATAGGGTAGATCCTGGAATATTGCAATCAATATTTCACCTCCCGATGAGCTATAGACTTGAAACTTCAAACTTAGCTCATAACCCGATGATAATGCAATATGAAGGATGAAATAATATGGTAGGTGATGCAGGAGTCGAGAGATTTCGAAAACCCGTATATGTATATCTGTGTTTGTATGGAAAAGTAGCTTATGTCGAAAGGCTGGTTAGTATAAATCGGCATTCGCAGCATAAGATTGCAAATAAACGCGCAAAAAATAGTTCCGATACTAGCAAGTAAATATTCTTCTTAAGTTTCATCAAAAAATTTCCCTGTCGTTTGAAGAACAAAGCGAATACCGCATTATAATAAAGCCAGCCATTTGACATAAGTTACTTTTCCATACGAACACAGATATAGTAAGAATTGGGGCACGCTTATTTTAAAAATACATTTTTACTATGTTTTAACTTTTTGTAAAAAAGTTTCTCATCGTAAAACTGGCGTTTTAATTCGACATCCGTGTTAAACTGGTTGAGGGTGAGGCAGAGTTACTGCACTCTTGAGATAAGGAAGAAGATAACTTTAAAGAGGGGTTCAAATTCGATTCGATAACTTTTTTCTTCTTCCGCACATTAACGCTCCACCCCTATGTTCATAGGTAAGTGTTCAATGAACATGCCCCTGGATGGATGATATTTTCATGAGTGAATAATTTGCAAACTTTGTATGTAAATATGTACGGAATTTTCTGAATACCAATTAAATACTTGCTGATGAGCAAACGTACGTGGTGGACATGAAAAAATTCGTACAGACCTTTAGAGGGGGATTGTAAAAATGCTAACGTTTTAAAGCAGTAATTACTGTTCACACTCTGCGAAAAGCTAGTGAAACAAATTTCCGGTCTAGAGGGAGTACGACTTTGAAATTTCGAATAAAAACATCCTTCTTCGGGATATCGCAGTCTTAAAATCAAAATAAAAATAATAGTCGCCCTCGTAAAAACGCGGATTACTGTTTAAAATTTTAATTTGAATAATATGCAATACGAATTATTAAATTTTCAAATAAAGTAGCACAGAAATCTAATAATATGGTATCAGCGGCATTTTGAGAAAGTTACAGTTTTGTGCGCAGTAAATTTCTGAATTTCGAACATGAATTATATCGAAAAAGCCATGGTTTTAATTTCACTACAGTCGGCGCAATTACTATTAATTAACAAGGATTTCCCTATAGGGCATGTACACATGGATAAATATGGGTGTCTACAATGACATGTAATTAGTTGTGACGAAGTTAATTTCTCGC